CTTTTTAGTCCCATCGACAGTCCAGTGCACGAATTGATCGGATCTCCCGAGTTTTACACGTTCGTTCCAGTAATTTGCTCATGTTCATCTATATGTCCACTTCTATATGTCCACTCCCCTTGTATTCTATCCGAGTAGCTGATACAGGAAGCGCAGCAGATCAGTCAGGAGCGTTTGCAGAAAATGGGAAAGTTGGCAGCTACCATAACCGATATAGCGCGTTATAGAGTATGTTACACCGAGCGACTCTTCTGTCGCATTTATGTGGACAGTGATTTTTATTAAATTGTCTGGTCTTTTTGGTAAGTGGTGTTCACACATTCGTTGTCATATATTTAGTTCTCATATATTTTTTTCTAAGCCAGTTGTTTTTTCCGCATGAGAGAAAACTGTGTCGACTGTCTCGGGGTGTTGTTTTTCGTCTTGTGCATGTGCGCCCTATTCAGGAGGATGCGGCATGTGTACCCATATTAAGTAATTAGTGATCTAATAGTCATGAAAGACCTAATAAGTCATGAGTGATCTACCACATGTGCACTGTGAACCGTCTTCTACCGTCGCATACGACACCCAAATGCCTCACATTTTGCTGGCGGATTTGCGAACTCAAACATTCATCCAAATGCAAATGAACACGAGTCAGGACTGGCGTATTGTTCGCTGTATTTGCACTCCAGCAACTGTGCCAGTGTCTTTAATGTGTACGATCGGTGCATGTTTTAAACTCACAAACACATTCGGGTGACGTATTGCTTCACAGCAAGTGTACTGGATTGGTATTACTCGCCATATCGTTTCCGCTGGAGAATAAGAGATGTTTTGATTAAGTTGATCTTCACAAACGCAAAAGGCGTGAAGTGAATACTACTGCGCATGTTTTTTCAATTGTGGAAACGGCTGACATCTTATTGGTTTTGGTCCTTCACAAACAGCTAACAAGTCGACAGCTTACAGATAATGTGGGCGTACCAGGTACAGAAGCAACCCCGCACCAACGAACAGCTCAGCTGTCGCAGATGCAGGTATGGATCTACATATGCTAGCCATGGCATGGTATCGTATCGCATATGATCTGCGCGTGTCTTCGGTCGCGTATACTTGCGAGATTTGCTGTTGTCGCTTAGTCTCCTTTGCTTGCGTTCAGCAGAAATGCGCTTTACATCAGAGTTTGTCCTGCCCTGTAGGTATCTATTTATGTTCTATTTATATTGTAAATGTATGTACATGTTCTATTTATATCGTTTATATATATATATATATACATATATGTATATATATATATATATATATGTATGTATGTATTTATATGTATATGTATATACATATATATATGTGTGTGTGTGTGTGTATATATATATAACTCAATTGACTGGTATGTTTGCCAGCGATGTCTTTTTGGGGTTGTGTCCGTGTACGGCTGCGCTTTATATATTCCCTGTTGTGGACGCATTTTGATTAGGGAGCGCGTTTGTTTCACTCGAGTATTCATGCCTCCACAGCAATGTGTCATTAGATGTATATATATACGGTTGCATCTAGCCGTGTACGTATATGTACATATATGCTCGCATCCATGAGCCCGTCTGACTGAGCACCAATCGTGTTGAAGTTTCACACATATGTTGCTCTGTTGTTCCTTGTGCGTGTTGTGACGCGGTGGACACTCCACTCGCCCTGGCGGAAATTATCTTTCGGTTTCCGAAAAGCTGCCCGCTAAAGGCTGTACCATGCACTTTGACATCGTTGTCAGTCAGTTTGGTGTCTCCCTGTGGCATCGTACGTCAGTTGTAGAAGATCATGATCTAAATCCTAAACCCTAAACTTGGCAAAGACGGGCTCGTGCTAGTGTAATTAGTCACAGCCGTAGGCGAATATGCGTATGAGTGCGAACCTATCCGTCACCATTGCACTTCTCTGAGTATGCATCAACAAAGCAAGTCCCTTCGGCAAGAATACAAGCGCTTTTGCGATCGGGTTTCCTACTGACGGCTATGACAGTCATGGTTGATGATGGTAGTGTCTATGCGCTCAATCACAGTTCGTGCTATTAGCGTCCTCTGAAGGCCTGCCTACTATAGATCACTTACTTCGCCCCCGATACCATCGGGTCATGCGGCTGTCATCGTACCCCTCCCGTGCGTTTAACTCAACTGTCGTATTGCTGACTTACTATTGAGCATAGGCTGGTGCAGACACCGCCGATGCATTTACAGCTAAAACAGCTGCCACCCCTGCAAACCCTAAAACCCTTGCAAGCGGTGCCCAGACGACACTAGGCTTCAATCCACAGGTACTGTCAACCTGTCAATCGTTTTGAATTTATGTTTTCATATGCGTTTTGCATGTTTCATGGTGTATATTGTATTCCCAGATTATTTCACATTGCATGCATTCGTGACAATTGATAACAGGCTTCGTTTATCTTCGAAAGGTTTGTGTGTGAGTGTGTGGCCTGCCTGGTTTCAAAAAGGTTTGAAAAGGTAGCTCTTATCTCACAGTACGCTCTCTCATTGACCATCACTGCCACCACAGCAACTTGCCGCCATTGTGCTGGAGGAAAAGGAAAGAAATTTGGCAAAGCTCGCGAAACAGAAAGCAGAGCAGGAAGAGAGTCAGGTGCGTAGCGAGAAAGAGTTGACTGGATGTTTGGTGCTCACATAACTTCATTTTTGTGTATATTCTCGATTGTTAGTACTCCAATGGCCGCATCCCGCCACGACGTCATGTTGTTGTATCTAGATACGCCTAACATCTATCGTTGTGTTGAATCTCAGATTGTCGTGCTGTCGTATCATTTCTGCATTGCCATTGTAGAGATACCTCTCTCCTATGCCTGTTCTGTCCGGGTGTTTAAGCCCAGCTACTGCCCCCACACGCTCACAATGATTACCAATCTGTTGGTAAATTAATAGGCTACTTTAGAGAAGCGATACGAAGAAATTGAGACTAAACGTAACCAACTATCGACGCAAGCCAACCCGACATTGGAGACGAGTGCAGAGCAGGAGAAGGTATGTGTACTGTCACAAATGCGAACGTGCCGATTTCGGCAAGTTTGCGCGTACTAGCTGATTGTTACTAGTTAAAAATGGACCTTGACTTATAGTCTGGCAGACCAAGTGTAGGGATGTACAGCTGTGGTTTTCTTGGAACGTTTGCTTTATGTGTGCTCCTTAGACGGATGGGTGCAGATTCGCACCCAGAGCCAGTCGGAGTGAGTGAACGGTAGGCTTGGGTATTTGTACTGATCATTTGTGGCCGAATCGAGTTCGCGAGCACCAAGTCGGCCTAGTTGTTTACGCAGTTTATTGCGAAATATTTGATTTTTGTCGGACTCTTGCAAACCACTCATGCGAAACGCATACGCTGGTGCTATGACGTTGTGTGGTGGATCCTTTTAGTCTCATAGACAGTCCAATCCAGGCATTGATCGGATCCCTCGAGTTTCACACGCTCGTTCCAGTAATTTGCTCATGTTCATCTATTTGTCCACTTCTATATGTCCACTCCCCTTATTTCCATCCGAGTAGCTGAGACAGGAAGCGCAGCAGATCAATCAGGAGCTTTTGCAGATATGGATAGAGCTGGCGGGCATCGTCGCCAATTTAGAGCGTTACAGAGTACGTCACGTCGAGCGGCTTTTCTGTCGCATCTCGTGGACAGTGTCTGGTCTTTTTGTAAAGCGGTGTTGTCATGTATCTCGATTTCTTATTTCTTTTAGGGTAGTTTTTTATCGAATGAGGGAAAGCTGTGTCGATTGTCTCGTGGTGTTGTTTTTCGTCTTGTGCATGTGCGCCATGTTCAGTAGGACGCGACATGTGTACTCTTAATTAAATTAGCTGATCTAATAAGTAATGAGTGATCTAATAAGTCATAAATGATCTCAAATTTATTTAGTGATCTATAATTAATTAGTGATCTAACAAGTGTGCTGATCTGAAGCGCTTATGCCGCCACCCCAAATTCTTGCACAAATCTTCCGATATGTACACTGCAGATTGCATTTCCTCAATCCGGTGCAGTGGGCGCGATACCGGCGACTGTAGAGTCAACTGCAGCGCTTCTGAATGACGCGTTAACGGTATGACACTTTTCATCACTACTAGACCTCAAGTTTTGTTTGGTGCATGTATAACCCAATGGGTTTCTTAATCACAGATGCCGCTAACAACTCCTAAAACCTGAAACTCTAAACCGTACTAATTAATGAGTGTTCTAATGAGCCATGAGTGACCAAATTAGTCGTGAGTGATCTAAAAATTCTTGAAGTGACCTAAAAAGTAATGAATGATCCAATAAGTCATGACTGGTCTAGTAAATTCCTGAGTGGTCTTATACGTCATATATTATGAGTGATCTGCCACATGTGCACTGTGTTCAGTATTTAGCGGAGTTGGCCACATATACTTGCACGGCGCTTTCTACCGTCGCATACGACACTCAATTGCCTCATGTTTTGCTGGCGAATGTGCGAATTCAAACATTCATCCGCATGCAAATGAACACCAGTCAGGACTGGCGTATTGTTCCCTGTACTTGTACTCCAACAACTGTGCCAGTGCTCCCAATGCCTTGATGTGTACGATTGGCGCATGTTTTTATGTTTTGATTATTTTTATGTTCAGAAACGTCAAAGGCTTAGCATCATCTAAAAAAAGGTACGTATGTACCAAGTTATGTGTATGTGCTTTGAGCCGAAATTGTGAGTGTGAACGGATTGTACCCACGTTTTTTTCCTGGTCACAATCGAAAAGCCGCACTCGCCAGCGCTGAACAGGTATGAAGCTTTTCGTGGCGGATTGATTATGGTTTTACAATACATATCTTGGTGTCAATGTATACGCGCAATATTAGTTTTATCGAGGCCAATTGGTCGTCTACGGTTTCCCGAACAATGTGTTCTGCTGGTGCTTGTTACGAACACGCGAGTTTTTGGATCACACATCGGTGAACATTGAAAGGCTGCTATCTCGCCCGTTTGCATCGCTACAGCTTTCTGTGACAGCGGCTGAAGATACCGCAGACCAATCAAATAGAAATACCAGCACCATACAAAGCACTGGGAATAAAGACGTCGCAGTGGACGATGAGCCTTGTATGAACGATGCGTTGCGAAGAATTGACGTAGACGAAAAGATGGAGGAACTATCAAAAATTAGCCAACGAGAGGTATGAAATCCCCTTGTGCTGTTTCGGATTGTTTCACCTTGCCAATGCCTGTCGTACGCACAACTCTATCGTTTTAATCTGAAAGTACATGGTTATATTGAATAACTTGAGTTAAACTCCCTAGCTTTCAGAACAGAAAATTACATGTAAAAGTATACGGTTTCATTAAATCACTAGAGTTATAAGACACTAACTTTCTGATTAAAAACTCTTCCATTGGCGAAATAGCGATCTGCATCTCAAGAAGCGGAGGAAACAGTGCAGGCCACGGTGAATGGCTATTCACAACAGACACAGATTCCGCTCAACCAAACGCACCTACAAGCACTCACGCCGCAGGTATTTGTAAATTCTTTCATGTTTGTCGCCAATGTATGTAGACGGATTATGATTGTGTATATATCTATTAGATTGTAGTCGATGTATTAGAGAGAGCATCATTGTGTACGTATGTACCAAGTTAAGTGTGTGTGCTTTAAGCCGAAAATGTAAGTGTGAACGGATTGTTCCCACTTTTTTTTTCTGGTCACAATCGAAAAAGCCGCACTCGCCAGCGCTGAGCAGGTATGAAGCTTTTCGCGGCGGATTGATTATGGTTTTACAATACATATCTTGGTGTCAATGTATACGCGCAATATAAGTTTTATCGAGGCCAATTGGTCGTCTACGGTTTCCCGAACAATTTGTTCTGCTGGTGCTTGTTCCAAATACACGAATTTTTGGGTCACACATCGGTGAACATTGAAAGGCTGCTATCTCGCCCGTTTGCTTCACTACAGCTTTCTGTGACAGCGGCTGAAGATACCGCAGACCAATCAAATAGAACTACCAGCACCACACAAAGCACTGGGAATACAGACGTCGCAATGGACGATGAGCCTTGTATGAACGATGCGTTGCGAGGACTTGACATATACGAAAAGATGGAGGAACTATCAAAAATTAGCCAACGAGAGGTATGAAATCCCCTTGTGCTGTTTCTTCGGATCGTTTTACCTTGCCAATGCCTGTCGTACTCTCATTTCTATCGTGAAATCCGTGATATTGCTAACGGCTTGATTCTCGAGACCAAGTCAACTCTCAAAATTATGGAGGGAAACAAAAATAGTTTAGAACACACCCACCAGTCACTACTCAGAAACGTATTGCAATGCCCATATTATCTGCATCGCAGCCGAACGCTCACATCCTAATCTACTCTACTTACGCATGTATAGGCGTCTACGATAGGAGCAGGACATAGTGCCACCACAGTGGTGGCGGATGGCGTCACGAGTCGAGAGATCTCCCCAGTAACGGCCGTTGGCAATAGTACTGAAGTGGTAAGGCTATTGACTCGTCTGGTTGATATGCGTTTGAGAGTCAACACGAGCTGTAGAAGTGAATATATCTTGATATCTTGGAATATTCATAGCTTTATGAAGTCGATGGAAGTTCTCGTTGGTCCATATATTTTTTTGGTCGCTGGGCGCAACTACAAATGATTTGAAATTATTTACAGATTCTAATGATTTCAGCGTTAACTAATAACATATTGAAGACCTATCCCTAAATTGAACTTTTCCCGATTGATTCTGCATACGGTTGGGTAGCCTGGCTCGACTACAGACTGTAGGACTTACATCGATGTAGATGCCATGGAAGACACCATCGGCCCAGCAATGGTAGAATTCTGTGTACAGAGTGGTCAGTGTGTATGATAGGTACTCAACAGTCTCTCGCATGCTTTTTGCAACCGGGTTTGTTCGAGAAACTACGCCCGAGAAGGTTTAAATAGAATGGATCAATAGTTCCTCAGCATTCAGGCCACAATTAAGTTCGGCTTAGCTGCGCAGACCCCATAGCTTAGTTGGTAGCATCATAGCATGGTAAAGTCCAATACAAGCCGGCCTAGATCCTTCTTCTGCGTTCATTTGTCAGGAAAGGGCAGTTTCGTTCCGAATCGTGGAGTAGTCTGTTAAATCTGCTTTTTAATCTTGTACATCTACAGCTCCGCAGAAACATACCCGATGAAGGCGTCATAGATGTAGATCGCCTCTACGAGGACTCTGTTGAAGCTTCGTTCAATAGTATGCAGATTTAGAAATTTTTGGCGGTTTGCCATATGGCACAGAGGTACAAAGCGATAGCGCCGAACGAGAAGCACCAAAATCAGCTTGGCTAATAGTGAATGAGGTTTAAACTTTGTGTTCATAGTTGGCCTCGCTGCCTGTTTACGATGGCCATATACAGACATTGTTACCCTCTTTCTTTGACCCTTAAGATTACTCAAGAGTCTACGATCCAGCGGGAGTCCACAAATTGAACATCAAATGAAATTAGCTTCCTGAAGCCGTGCAAACTTTGATGTCCATAACAGCATCGGATAACTTTGTGCAAGTTCTTACAATTTCTCGGGGTACTATCACTCCTGACAGAGCCGATAACAAATAGTTTTAGCCGAATTGCGAGCAATCCTGTATTAAATGAATAAAAGTAACATCCGTACAGCTTTCACCTCAGATTATCTCGAGTGCCTTTAACATTCGTTTGGTATTCGATTCTCGGAACATGCCAGCATCGTCAGCACAGTATTGCGAAATGCTACACAGAGATACTCAAATAGAAGCTGGTGATTTCACATGCCTGAACATTTCTGCCGTTCGGTGTGATGCTCGTAGAAATACTGGTATGCTGGTTGTGAAATTTGGTCAGTTATCTCATTTAGCGCTTATGGTGTGATACGGTACTCAGTCGCGTGTGAAGAATCAAGACTTCCATGTGAGGGATCACCAAACCGGCCGTGTGACAAACTTACACAATTTTTTGTATCGAGCGTATACCCAGGGAGATGATTATAAATTAACATAATACACATCAGAAAGCAGTAGATTATCGTCCACGAAAACATATTTCGGCTGCCACTTTACAATATATCTCCAAAAAGATCGACCATCGCCATTTGTCTTGTTTAGAGTGACATAAATATTCTGCAGACTCTATCAACCCTTACGATGGCTAAGTTACAGGTCATAGCTTTTGAAAATGTCAGGAAGGCCATGTTCGTATCCAGTACAGAGGGTATGAAAAACTCTCACCAGATAGACATACAATGTCTGACCTCTATCTACCAAGTTTAGGCATTTACATAGAAGATACGCTTAGATAGGGCCGACGCAAACTTCATAATATGCTTAATTGTGTGCTGTCGTTGACAACTGAAAACACAACCCTGTCACTCTCTGGTGTAGTGATCGCTGTGCATGACTGCAAACACCACTTCGCAATCGGTGCATATGGTCATTTTTCTGGTGAAGCAAAGTCTTCAACAAAGTGGCCTGCGGACGACGTGCAGCTGTGTATTACGAAAGTTACCAAACTTTCAGAGTCATTCCCTTTCATGCCGGTATCAGTCTAGCAACATCATAGTACCTGGACGAACATGAAGGACCATTGTACTTCGGCAGGGGAAGATTAATGAGCGAGCTGGTGCACTCTAGTAGCATCCACGTGCGGACCAGCGCATTCCATGAGATACCGCCAGCGATTAGAAATATAGTTGTATACAGGACTTGCTTCGCGCTGAAATCCCTCATTAGCGTCGCGTAATTATTGACAACGCGGTTGAATTTGGCATCCAAGGTCTATCGGTTTGTAGTATGGGAATTCCTCTCGATGCTCATAGCTTGTGCAACGGTTTTGGACAATTCCTGTAGAACTGCGGCGTTTTCAGAGAAATGAGCATTGGACACATTCAGCTCGGCTGTTAATCAGATAGTGATGGTCAGAGTGGCCGACCTAAACAGGAATAGGATATTGGCTGGGTCCCTGGCGTCGTTGAAGTTGACTAAGTGCTGAGTGTGTACCCATAGGCCATATATACCTCGTGCAGCAAACGGATCTTATACGCTCAAACTACAATCCCCACATAACGAAGACCTGCGGAGCATTCCCTGGCAACAGCCATCCCTGGATACATGGCATCGCCGCCATTTTTTATGCTAGCAACACCATCATGGTAGTGTTAGAGGTAAGCGAAATATACACAAGGTTGGCCAGCACATTCATGACCAACATGGATGCCACCAGGATGACCACATCGGAGACAATATATTTTCCCTTGGCGATATCGAATGCCTTGCCTGTGTAGGGAGCCAAGAAAGAGTTCCTATATATATTGTACCCACTTTACATTTGTTTAAAGAGTGTCAAACAGATTCCGTAGAAGGAAGGAATACACTACGTGTATTTCTGAGTAATAAATAGCGATTTTTGTTGTGGATTCTTTCACACAAGAATGCTTAACTAATGAGCTCACATGTTCTGTGCTCAATGCCTCCTTTGTGTATACTACTTCTTAGTTCCGTAGGCTAGCCGGTGATTCCGTCTACGGTCCTCGGTCAGGCAGCTCTCATCTATCGCCCGCGCCCTGTGACTGCTCAGTGCCTTGGTGTTCTAGCTTACAACCAAGGACATACAGACAACTATCCAAGACCTCCTTGATCTACTCAGATGCAAACCACCTAGCCATGGCAGCAGCTGTGTCCAACGAGCTATAGCCTCAAACTAACACCTGTTCCCTTGCCTGACCTACGCTAACTACGATATGGATATGAACTTTTGTGTGTACGAAACCCACACCCTGATGGTCGGTACAATATATTTCGTTATACAAGTGGTCTTTGTTACTCCGAAAGCTGTGGGTTGAGGTGAGGTTCGGCTGTATTTACCTTCGTATCATTGAAGGGCCTGTGTCTGGGTCTAGCCTGATGCAAAGGAAGAAGTGATGCATGGGGTAGAATTACGTGCTCCAGGTACGCATAATACGATGTCATGTACAAATGAATGTCTGTAAATTATGCAACTTTGGTGTGAAAGTCTTTATCAAGAGTCTCCTCATAAAAAGGTAGTATAAGCGGTGACAGCTTCTAACTCATCCTTTCTCGAGTATTATGGTATATATGCGATAGCAGAAATTCATTTAAATATGCACGACTCCAAGTTTAGCTGCATCCTCTGGTAGTAGATTTAGATATGTTTATTTTGTACAATTTTAAGTTACATATTGAACATCTGGCGGACGATTACTGTATCGAACCTCAGCTACAACAATGAATGACTGCGAGTATACTCTTCACGTGGCATGTTGATGGGTGTATTGCGATGTGCTAATGGTATGAAATCTGGTTTCTATTGTATTTGGCTGAGGTTGATGGCGGCTGGTAAATTAACGCCTTACAATGATTTGATAGTGTGACATGCCATGGCTGGTTTATGAGAGTGCTTGTTGTTCTGGAATGTCCAACACACTATTCGGAAGAGTTCGGGTCGATGGGCCAAAATAGTCTAGAGTCTCTCTCGCACCGATGAAACCGAACTCCGTATGTTCGTACAGAGATATGATTATTATATGATAAAACGGAAGAAATTGTTGCTAAATCGGGGTTGAATCCAATCTGCCATTCAAAGCTGCAGCTCTGATTACTTTATATCCGGCACTATTTCGTCCCATCTTGTCACCGCTCCCTTACTGTGTCACAGAAGTCCTTCAGCTGAGAGATTCCACCTCTGACAAGTACCCGTCGAGGCATCACCTCCGATAGGGATGATATTATTTATTTCAAAAATGATAAGCTATAATGTATGTATGTCACAATGTATGAACATATGGTATGGCTCTCATAGCCGTTGTAGTGGCTCGGGAAAGATCGTTGTGAAGAAGTGGTCAGTAAATTCCCGTTTGAAGCTTGGGCCAAGTGAATCGACGATGGAGGATATGCGCTGAGTCAATTCGGGCCGGTGCTGACAAAACACTGTTACTTTTAAAATGTGCCATGTATTCGCTTGCTGACCTACTAAGTAGCGTACCCACCTATGTAGTACGGATCGGGTCTGCGCCGTGTAGTGCCGTGGAATGGGTTAGTGCAGAGTACGAATACCGAGTAGGACCAGGTTATCTGTCATAATTTGGTCGAGGAGCGAGGATGGGGGTGAGTCAATGCCGCACCAGACCACGGATAAATTCGGTATGTGTTGGCTGGCCTGGATTTGGAAGTAGTACTTCAACAGCGTGATTAGCCGGGATATGGGGAACATCTCTTGATGTGTCAGAGACGGGTGAGGGTGCGGTGGTTCTTCTACATGCTGGATAAAAGATTCCAAGGTGTTCGTGGAGGGTCCAGATTCTGTGGAAGTCGTGGCACTCCTGTAGTTGCTGGAGGAGATCAGGGCCAATGGGTGGCAGTTTCGGGCCTACCAGGACGCGTCGAATCAGTTGTTGGAAGCAGGTAAAGTGGCTGGTGGTGAACTTGTGGCTACCGGGGCAGACAGGGCAGAGACAGCCGTCGGTGCGGTAGTCGAGCAATGTGAACATGTAGGTATTCGTTACAATCATAGCACAGAGCCGGATTGGTGTAGGCTCGAAGCAGCAGTTGAAGCTGTCGTGTCTGGCTGTGTCTCGGTTTGAGGTTGGCGGTTTACATCAGTTGGTAGTAGTATTGGCGCCGGGCCATTGCCGCGATCTCCTTGTTGGACCAGCGGTTTGTTGAGTTCTTCCTGATGTCGTCACAGCGTTGGCGGAGGGCTACATGGTCGGGTGTACGCCCGTCCGTGGTTTTGTGTACAGTTTTCAGGTGAGCATAGATACTGTACGGGAAGCGCAGTGATGGTTTGCCGTGGGCCCAGGCGAATTGCGTCAGAATGGTGAGTGGATTTGTGCTGGCCATTGAGTCGAGTTGTATTCCCAGACAACCTCTGAGGTAGTCCGCGAATGGTCGCGCGGGGAGCAGGCCACAAAAGTGGAGTAAGCTTGTTTGATGTTTGGGAAACCGAGAGTATTTAGTGTCCGTGATGATGGCTGCTGCTTGGATGAGTGCTGAGTTAAAGCGCTCGAACAGGGGGTCCAACGCATCCTTCCATATAGGCGGAGCCCAGGCAATAATGTTCAGGCCACATGTAGCCGTGGATAGGATGAATGTTTTGAACATCGCCAGTCGGTTGCGGGGGTGTCGCCAGCTGAAGCCATGGAAGCCATAAGCGCGGAAAGAGGCGATACCCAGAGACAATGCTGCAACCAGGGATTCAATATGTCTGGCGAGGTTGATCCCTGGTACTCCATGAGAGAGTGGGAACCCCGGATATTTGTGGGTGCTATCTTCAGGAGGTAACGTGTGTTCCAAGGTGCGTCTGCAAGCGTCGGCGTGATAAGCTCACCATTTATACGGAGGGTTGGCGCCGCGTGTCGCAAGTCGGTAGATCGTACTCGGGGTTTAATGACACCCTGTTCGAGGCCAGATTTACGTCCCCACGCATCAATGTCATCTAAGAAGGGCTGGAGCGGAACCGATTGAGGGGCTTGGGCCGAAATTGTGCTAGCGTGACAGCTAAGGAATCCATGTAAATAACAAAGAGCTGGGGGCCGACGATTGAGCCTTGTAGGATGCCATTCGTTCTATGGAATAGAGGCGAGAGCGTGCCGCAGTATGTCACTCGGGTAGGGACCCTCTCAAAT